GGGTGCAGAGGGACAGGCAGCTTTAATGGGCGTCCTGGTATTCTGACTGCTCGGGTGAAATGGTGCATGAGATGAATAAATAAGCAAAGCTCAAAAGACATAATATCTGACTTAGGAAAGTTTGCACAGCGACAGCCCTGCCAACTGGTTTTTCCAACCCATGGCTGGGTGGCATCTTCTTTGGAAGGCTAAACCAGGGACGGAAAGGGTGCAGAGAGGAGCCCTGGGAGGAGGCGAGGAAGCTAGATCCATGAAAAATGTGTCCATCCCTCCTTCTGCTACCACCTATCTCCAAAGCCTGTTTCTTATTTTTGCCCACGTCAAGGCCACACAAGCTCACAGAACAAAGTCTAATAGGCTGCTGAGCAAGTTCGATGAGTGTCTCGATGCAAGATCAGCAGTGCGTGAAGGGCGGGAGTCTGTGTCCTTTCTACTTCTGGCTCTGCTGCTGACAGGCTGTGTAGTACCAGGCAACCTCCTGGATCCTCTGTTTCTTCATCTGTCCAGTGGGCGTGTTGATGCTCATGAGGAAGGTGTAAGGATCTGACGCTGTCAGTATGTGTTTAGCAGAGCGCCTGGTATATACCGTGGCCACTCAGTAAATGGGAGAGCTTTAAAAATGAAAAATTACTGTTCTCCTTCAAATGATCACACTCTGGAGAGAACCATATTGAGCTATTATGTCTCCAAGGACGTTCATGAATGTTCATTAGTGATGTCTGCTGAGAGGGTGGAATCTGGGTTGTTTACATTTTCTCACTTAGTTTTCAGCCTGTGGTTTAAAAATGAGTATTGTTTTTATAACCAGACAAATTTATTTTGGGAAGAGGATTGCAAGTCATTTGGCAACTTGGTGGGGGGGGGTGCAGGGGTGCAGGAAAGCAGGTCCTAGAGCTGGACAGCTGCTTGTAGCAAAATGGCCATGAGAACAGGCAGGGGACGGAGGCCCAGCCCTAGCCAGGTCCCCTGGCCTTCGTGGTCCTGGGCCGTGGCGCCACTCACAGACGCAGGCCGGTGCTAGTCCCGGGGACAGAAGGGGAAGAATCCTGGGTGAGCAATCATCCTGGTGTGCCCAGGACAGAGAAGGCTTTTTTGAGGACATGGGACTTTCCATTTTAAAACTAGAAAAGTCCCAGGTAAACTCAGATGGGTTGGTCACCTAGAAGAATCAGTGCCTTCAATTTAGTCAGGTTGGATTGAGCCAAGTACTGAAACAGCATGGGTCCTCACCATTCAACCACAGCACGAAGTCAGGGTTCTCTGCCCAATTCGGTTGGGAGGGCTGCCCCCCAATATGGAACCTGGCCCCATCCTACCTTCTCACTTCCAGAGGGTCCCGGGACCTTCTCCTCCCCATCCCGTGGAGCCTTGGGGTGGCGGCTAGCAATTTCTCCAGCCTCGCAGAGGGTTCCTGAAGTCCAGGCGTCCTCTCCTTTACTACCCTACTCCTGCTCCGGGCCTAAGGGAGCAACTCTGTAGGACCGTTCCCCCCACTCTCCCTGGGAGACAAGGTCTGTCTGGCAGGCCCTCAGGGGTGTCACGCACCAGCCTGCTGGCTGGCACTGCTGCCTCTTGGCTCTCGCAACTGGCCGTTGTTTCATTCTCTTGCTTTGGGACACAAAGTCCTACCAGGAGGGCAATCATATGGCAAGCAAGCTGCCTGACTTGCTTGCACATTTCTAAAGAACAGCTCTGGGAGATACCCTCTCACATCTCTAATGTCACAGATGTGCCTGCCTGCTACCGAGGGCCTTGGCCTTCCCAGCCTCAGTTTCCCCAGCGAGGAACAACATCCTAAAAACAGCTGCCATTTAAAAGAACAGAGGGGGAAATAAAGACGAAAGAAAGACTGCAAGGGCGGCAATTCTCAGAGCACTGGTCCTCACACTAGGGTGGGCGACGAACCCCCCCCCCCCCCCCAGAGAGCCTGTTATAAAGTGTGGACCGCAGGGCCCACCCCAGAGTATGTGACCAGACTTTGAGAGCCACCGTGCCAGGGTGCAGCACGCACATGGAGCTGCAGGAAGCGTGCCAACGTGGCGGCCACATATGCCTCAGACAGGCTGCTCTTAGAAATGTTTTAAGAAGTCCCAACGGTTTCCGTGTTACAAACGTATCTATTAATCGTGTTTAAGAGGATAGTATTTGTGGAAGACTGTTATAAGGAGCCTCTCCTGCCCCCATGCTCTGCAACAAGATGGGGTTAGTCTGTCCATCCGCTAAAAGACCCAGTACTGGACCAGCAGACATGCTCACAGCTCTTGGGACACCGCAGAGCCCCTTCCCCTGATGGCAGATGCCAGCCTTGCTCAGATGAGGGGCCCCGATGCCACTCGAGTCAGGAACACAGTAGGTGTGCCATAAACATCGGGTGAGTCCATGTAAACACTCCAGAATGACACAAACGCTCTCAGTCTAGCAGAAATTAAGGCATCTTTCTCCACATAACTACGTCCAATTTAATTTGCACTCCCCTGGGGTTACTGCTGGCAGTCATTCAAGTCGACTAGCATCGAACAAACCGATGCTTTCACGCGGCTGCTGGAGCCACAGTCCACCTGTTTTCAGCGGGAGAGGCCGTGGCGCAAGGGGTCCCCGAAGGTCCCCCTGCTCGCCCTTGCCAGAGCTTCCTTTTTTGTCCCTGCACGTCCACCCTGCTCTTCCCCAGAGCTGAGGGTTCTCCGACTTAACCCCAAAGCACCCCTCTGCCAATGCATCCAAGAATATTACAGTTCATCTCTGTGTCATGGAGATGGCCCATTTCACCTCTGCCTGAAGAAACTGTCTTTTGACCCGGGTTTCACAAGCACACAATGTTCTGGGGCAGGGGGGGGCTGTGTACCGAGTTTGGGGATCTTGAAAGCTCAGCTTTCAGTAAGGTGGGCAATTTTGACTAAATGCAGCTGTTAGGGCCTCAAATTAGAAGAAACATTAGCCAGTTGGCATGACAGGACTGCAGCTATCTGTTCTATCTGCCAGGTTTGAGTTACCAGCCTGGAAGCCAAAAAGAAATGGGCTTCTTGGAAACAAAAGTGATGGAATTCGGGTTGTGAATTACATAACCCACCAGCTCTCCTCAGACTATGGGGGATACTTGAAAGTTTTAAAGATGGACCAACAAAACAAAAACAAAACCGAAATTGCCACCAGTAGCCCTCGCAGCCCCCCCCTGCCCCTGAGTGCTCTGTCAGTCCTTCCTTTCCTCCCTCTCTCCTCAAGAAGTTAAAGAGCGCTGCCACTTTAAGAGCAGGAAGGTGTTGTTTTAAGGGCCTCTAAGCCCCCCTTCTCAATTTCAGCTTGGAGCTGAGATCACATCCCCCACAGCAGCCAAGGGACAAAAGCCATTTATCAACCCATCTGATAAAACTTCCAATAGGCTGGATCTTTATCTAGACCAAACTGAGATGCACACATATTGCAAACCCCTGCTCTCCAAAAGGGGAACTTCCTTTTAAAGCAGAGGGCCATTTTTCATTCTATTTTTTTATTTCTTGGGAGAGAACCAAATCAGCCTTTCAGCCGGACCTCTCAGGAGATGGAGAAACTGCCTTAGGAAGGGTTGGGGGGATGGCAGGGGCGGAGAGTAGGACGCCCTGCTGCCTGACCCACTGTGGAGGCCTGAATATTCCCAGGCCGGCCAGGACACAGGAGGTCCAAGGGCTCTTTGAGGCACTGACACCACTCCTCTCCCCTGGTCCTCGGCTTGGGCCTCCCCAAAGAAATCCTGGGCAGGGAGCAGGTTAGGGCTCTCCTGGGTGCCCTTGGGGATGCAGCTGCTGAGTGTGACCTGGGTGTGCTGGAGCCAGAGGGCGCACCGGGGCACCCGAAGCAGGGCTGGGGTGGAAGGTAAACTGATCCCTGGCCCCTTAGCTGCCTGCAGGGTCCGCCTGTGCCTGCGGGAGCCGTAACTTCTAGCCTGGATGGCCCAGTTCTGCCAGTTCCTGAAACCCAGTTGGCTGAGGAGCAAACAAAACAACCCCATCCCAGTCTAACTCAAGTCCTTTCTTGCCAAGCTCAGTGGAGCATGGGGGGCTGTGCATCCGTTCCTTGGGCTACGAAGCGAAACAAACTTGCATTTTTGCAAGACACCTCAGAGCCCCAACAACACAATGGCCTGGAGATTCCGCCTTGCAATGGGGCACCTTTGGCCCATGACACTGGGCTTATTTGTATTTTTAGCAAGAGAAAAATGGGTATAAAGGGTTTAACTAGTGTTTCCCAGCTGTGAGTAGCATATGGCAAAAATGAAATAAAGTTTTATGAAACATTATAAAGAAAACAGAGCAGGGATTTAAGTTTCGTGCCTCCCCCTCCCCCCCAAGGGAAAAAAAAAGTCAAGAAACTGGAGCATTTGGGAACGAACAAATGCTTCTCTGTGGAGTTGGTCTCCCTTCCCCCAACAAAAACAAGAGGTCCGGGCTCGGAGGAATTTGAAAGCTGCGATCTGCCAAAAACATTGTGAAAAACTATGGGGGATTCATTGGAAACAGATGGGCTTTTTCAGCTTTAATTCTGAAATTCTCTCCCTTTCTGACACAATAAAAACAAACAGGGGGCGACGCGGGATGTTATCGAACGGGAATATGGGCGGGTGTGAGCCGAGTCCTTGGGCTCCCCGCGTGGGGCCAGGCTGGGAGTCCCACTTGGAGGGGGTCTCAGGGACTTGGCTAGGGCCTCAGGAGCGGCCCGGGTCCACCCCTGTGCACCGGCAGGTTTGCAAACTGGTGGGAGAGGAGCCGGGGAGAGTGCCCCCGGTTCCGAGACCGCGCCACCCCTCTCCCCCTCCTCCAGGAGAGATACACATCCCTGGTCCCCACTTTCTTGGAAGGAGGTACCTCTGGCTCAAGCGACCTCTGCGTCCAGCCTTTTTGCAATGAAGCCCCACTATAGACCCCAACCTTTCCCCACGGCATCCATCACGCCTTCTGGGGGCGCGGGAGAAACAAAGACCCGTGGAAATGGGAGATGGGGTTGGGGGCACTCCCGCGGCGATGCCTTACCTGCGGGGAAGCTGCAGAGAAGGAAGGCGAGGGTCGGCCAGAATCCCAGGGCTGATCCTCCTGCCCCTCTCCCCATACCCATCCATCCAGCTCGGCCTGTTACCACTAGCCTCTCCCTAGAAGAAGAGTTTAGAAGAAAAGCAGAAAATCAATCACGCTGCGGAGAAAGGGTAGCCTCGCTCCGCCAGCGGGAGCAGCGAGCCGGGCGGCTCGGTCCCCCTCAGCCAGCTGCGGGCGCCCGGCGCGCCCCCTCCCCGTGCGCCCCGCCCTCACCATCCATCACCCGGTCCCCTCCAATGTCCGAGTGGCCCTGCCGCCCCCGCCGCCGTGCTGCCCGCCCCTTGGCGCTCAAGTTTCAGCACCGCCCGCCAGGGGTGGGGAAGCTGGGCGGGGACCTAGACGCCGGGCTGTGGCGCTGGCCCTGGGGACCTGGGGATCCCGGGACGTAGGGCGCTCGGGGCTCGTCATGCAGAACGGGCCCATTCCCCAGGCCCGCCAGTCCCCTCTTCTTCCCCGTAAATGTCTAATCCAAGTAGAGACTGCGCTTGGAGACAAACCCCAGGTCCCTTTCCAACTAGACTGTCCTCCCAAAGCCGCTCATTTCTCTCACTCGGATGTGTTGTCCCCCGGTGCCAGAGGCTGTAAATCGGCTTCCCAATTGTCGGGGGTTAGGCGGGATGACCTGTCGGACCTCAGCCACGAGCGTACCTGGAGGCCTGCCCCCTGTTGTCCCGGACCACCCACCCTGCCTGGGCTCGCCTCCCTGCAGCATCCCCTCCAAGTGCTCTCGAGAGGACTTACCCTGGCTGCGCTCCTGAGCCGCGGGCCTGCGAGCCTGTCACGGGGAGGACCGCTGCCACCCCAGACGAGGTGTGCATGCAGCCGTCCCCGCGGTGCTCAGGACCCTGGCACCAAGGCCGCTCTTGGGAGGGCATCAGGGTGAAGACTTCCCTTCACTTGGTCGCTTCTTTCTCTGGGAGAAACATGTCTCCTCCCCAAGGCTCCTGCTGGGCCCTACAGCTCTTCTGCCGCTGCTCCTGGGATATTTAAGAGACTGGCAGCTTCCCTTGAGAAACATCTTTTGGATGGAGTACAAATAGGCCAGAGCAAGTGTTTTTAGTCAAACCAATTCCTCCTTTGGCCCCCTCACATCACTTCCAAGCCTATTCATCTGGTTCGCTGGAAAAGAAGTATGAGTTTTTATCCAATTTAGATGTTTCTCTTAAGCACTATCACAGTCCTCACTTGCTGGAGGCCACACAGGCTGCAGGGCTCCCTGCCTGCGAGGAGGGGAGCCTCCTCTGCGGGAGCAAACTCTGGGCAGAGAAGCAAGACACAGCCCAAGGCAGTACCGCTTTGGATCTGGCTTCTGCAAAACAGGTATGAAAGGCCACGAAGGCCCCTAAGGCCAGCAGGGCCATGGGGCACAAGGAAGCGGTTGTTCCCTGGGGACTAAAGGCCATGCCAAACAACTGCCCACTGGCCTCTGCAGCTGAGGTGCCACTGCATTTCCCTGCAATCTCTAGGTCTCAGTCTGAAAGACTCCGTCTGATGAGCGCTTCCCTAAACTGAGCCACATCTGAAGCCCTGGTTTGCCAAACACTATAGGTCTGCCCATGGAAACCCAGGTCTCAAATGACATTCCTCTCAGGGTTGGCCCATCCTTGGGCCAGACCCAACGACGATGTAGAATCTTCAGGAGCCCAGGACAGCCCTGGCACCAGGAAGCAGGCACCGAGGCACCTTCCAGCTCTACCAGTCAGCACCGTTGGCTGGAGTCTGCCTTTCACAAGTTAACCTAAAGCCTCCCGCTAAGGAGAGAAGGGACCCATCTGTATTCCCACCTGTAAATGCACCACCACCACTGCCGCCTCATCTACAGGTCAGGAACACGGCAGACAGGCCACCGGTGTGATTTCAAAAGACCCGAAACAGCCCTGCCCTGCCCTGCCCAAGAGTGGGCCTTTGACAGCAAGACCTCTGGTCTCTACACCCCAGTTTCTTCATCTGTAAGGGGCAGGCCAATAATACCATTTGGGAGGGGCACCTGCTATGGGAGCTCCCCAGCATCCCTGCCGGGGACTCACTGACTGTCATTTGGAGAGGGGAAGCAATCCTCACAGCAGAAGCAGATAATCTGGAAAAGGTAATGCCAAGGGCTTTTTCCTCACGAGGAGAAATGTGTGCGGCTGAATTTGGACATCACAAAAAGTGGAGTTTTGGCTTTTGCACAGTTTATAGACTATCAAGAGAAATCCAGGCCCATTAGAGCAGCGTGGGGGTGTGTTGACCTGGAGGAACCTGTCTACGCTGGCCAAAGCGGCCAGCTTGTTGACAACTCCCGAACTCTTTGTGAGAATAAGAAATTCTTTAAACGCTGGGCTTTGGAACTCAGCATTTCATTTGCCAAAGAAACTCATGTAACTTAAAGTGTAGCTGACTTCAGACACACAACTCCTGTTATAGTCTCATCGCTGATGCCTTCTCCCCGGGACTGTAGCCTGGGCCTCGTACCTTCTGAACACTTGGTCCTGCGTGGCCTTTAGCAAACACACACTTTGCAAAGACTCCCCCAGGGTCCCTTTTGTGGCTGTAAACAGAGCAGACAGAGTCCATTTTCTTGTAATTTGGAGGATGTTCTCCTAAATGCATTAAGTGAGGCTGGCCTCTGCAAAAGCTTAATATGCATTCTCTTGCTAACGCCTAAGCCTGGCCTGCTGTTAATCACCATTTGTTTGCCATCTCTCTGCAGAGCCTCCATTGCAACCACAGGCCTGAAACCAGCTGCGTGTTCTCTGCTTCAGATGAAATGTGAACATTTTCACTAAGCCTGGGAGCACCAGTGACCCCCGGGGATCCCCGCCGTTTATAATTATTCATCCAGAAAAGTACCTGTTTATTCTACTTTTTTTGTTTCCCGCCTCTAAAGACAATTCCGATCCGTGGCAATTTCCCCCCCACTCTGGCACAACTTACTATCCTGAATGACCCTGGGGGTGGACTTTTGTCAGAAGGAATTCTGGAAGTCTAAACATAATTCGCCCTTGGGTTTCTCCCTGGTCTCCAAGCTTGTTTCTACCTCCTCAAAGAATGCTCACAGACTGGCCTGGTTTCACGGTCTTTTTTCAGAAAAGTGTGTTGTGCTTTGTCCCGTCAATTGGGACTTTAAAAAGTGCTCAGTGATATTACATTTTTTGCATATATTCCACCAAAGTGACTATTAAAAATGACCCTTCCTACATGGGTGGGCTGCCTTTGTGGACAAGGGGCCCAGGGCTGGTACAGAAGGGCAGTTACTCATTTGGGCCACTAGGTATTGCTACCATCTTTAATTACCTACCCATGGTGCCTCCCCTTCGGACGGTCCCGGGGTAGACAGATATAAAATCAATCAATCAATCAATCAATCAATCCATCAAGCTATCTAGCTTCCTATCATTTTACCAAAAACTATTAGCAACCCCCTGTCTGCTTCCTCCCCGGTAGGTATTTCCTACTTTATTTTCTTTCTCAGTGAAATAGTCCTGTGAACCTTTCCATCTCGGCAAAGGCATAAGCAGTCAGAGAAGAACCGAGTTCACTGGCCAAAGGAGATGTACAGGCAGACGTATATAAAAATAGTCCAGATGAGGGATGCCAAATGCCTTTAAACAGATACATCCTCTCTAGAACTTCAATTCCCACGGTAAAGATGTTAATTCTATCCCTTCTCATGGGGAAGTCAGACAACTCATACTTATTATCCCAAATTCCAGTGCAGAAGGCAGGTAACTTGCCAGAAGTCACCCAGCTGACATGGTAGTAGGTCTGGGTGACTCTCAGCGGTCACACCCCACCTCTAATAAGCTCACCAACTCCTGCATAGGCATGGGAATATTGGGTCTTCTCTCTGCCTCTGGTATTCCTACTCCATCTACGTGCTCCTTCTCTGGTTCTGGACAGGGCAAGGGGTCCTCTTTCTTCACCCTAGCCTCAGCCTGGGTTGGAGCCCTCCTGGTAACCTCTAAAAGTTTCTGGGGTTGCATTTAAGCCCCACCCCCGTCTATCTTTTCACACCTTTCCTTCTTGACCTTGGAGTTGATCAGTAAACGTCTGGAGCAGCCACGGTTTCTCTTTTGACACTTCTCCCATCTTCCCCTACTGGGATTATAAACTAGTGTTTAATGAGAGTTTCATATACACAAGTCTCCTCTTCATACTTCCCTCTTGAGCCTCTCGTCTGAGACTCCAGAGCACATCTATTATCTGGTCTACGAGTTTGCAAACCTTCTGCCTCCAAAGCCAAGGATGAAAGTGATAGCATTTTGAATTGCTTAACTGCCAGCATTGAGATGGAGACTTCCAGACTCGGCAGTAGATACGGAGAAAGAGATGTGGGGTGTGGGGTAACTTTACCTCCAGCTCTGTGGCCCCTGGGTACCCTGTCCTATTTCTACCCCCTCAGCTTCTCAATGCACAGAATCATGACCTGGCTGCCTGGCGGGTAGTCTTCTAGCTCAAGGGACCCCATGTGTTCATGCATCCCGTGAACTGGTGTTGGCTGTGTAACTAACTGGCTTTACCCACCTCTGACTCTGAGGAGTTTCATCTGTAGCATTTTTTAATATGCCAAGTGAGCACATCACTGAACAAGTGGGGAATGTCATTTGAGGAGTGACATCTTGTGCTTTAGTCTCAGCGTGAATTCTTCAGTTATAACCCCCAGCAATACTTCTACATATCTGAAACCACACCGTGAAAAACATTTAGTAACTTCTTGTTCTAAAGCAGCTTTTGGGTACCCATATCAAGATGCACCAGGTTCCCGTCATGGAGAACAGACAGCCTGGTGTTTACCTCTCCCCGTTCCACTAAGTTCTTGGGAGAAGAACCAGCTTGGATCCATTTAGGCACCAAAAGGCAAGTGTCTGAACTGACAGTGAGCCTCTGTGTGTCTCTCAACCGGCAGAAGGCTGGAGTATTTGGATTAATGAACAGTTTGGTGCCAAGCACACATACCACAAACGTTTAGCAATAGGAACAGATAACCAAGTTATTTATCAAGTTCAAAGTTGTTTAGAATGGCCCATGCAAAGCTGAAGGAAAGAAGATCCCCAGTTGGTGGGAGGTGGGGAAGAGTGCCAATGCAGAAAGAACAGATGTGTCAGATGGACGTGACTTTCCCTTCCACCTCCACGGTGTCCTTTTTAAAATGTGTTGGAGGCTGAGGGGTTCCTCCACATCTACACTGAGTGGCAGCATGCTGGCCGAGAACATGCAGGCTGAGCCGAGTCCTGGACCTGTGAATCAGGCATACGCTCTAGCTCATCATACAAAGGGGTGCTCGTATGGATTAAATAAGTGAAAACAGTAACGGGCCACTTCGTACAATGCTTGGCACAGAGAAAGTGTTGATGAGTAGTTGGCAATGTTAGTTTTAGATTATGGATAAGGACCATTGTTTTGATCAGGACCGTGTCTACTGGGGGGAAATATGCTGAGTTCCCCAAGGACTCTTAGATAAACTTGACTTCTGGTGGGTTCCAAGTGCACTCTCAGTTATACTCAAGTTCTGGTGAGCTCTTGTCTCCCACATAACTGCAGGGTCGTCTCAACTACGGGATGGGTGCATATGTCTCCAGTCATAAATGAGGAGACTGCTATGCTGCTTCTCATCTTCACCCAGAGCTTTTGCTGTGGCCGTTGTTAGTCAGATAGTATACCTTGTACATCTAATGATGGACCATGCATTAGAGATGGGACTATGTTTAGGGCTGTACTGTTTTCCAGAAATAAACAAAACCCATACATTTTAAGATAAGTTTCCCTGAATAATCTCCCTCATCTCCCTAGAAACTTAGTTATTTAGTAAGTTAAATAGTTACAGAATTCTTTTCTTTCTTTTGCATTCTAAATGGTATATTTAGGTCAA